CTTTTTATTCATAGGAATAGTTTTCCAATGTTGCAGTCATAATGCAATTTCATCAGTTTTGTTCCTCCTTTAAGAAACCTTAACACAAGAAGTATTTTTACATGTTGCTTCATTGCCATGTGATTATTCTTTTAAAAAGTTGTATAGTTTTCAATCGGATAGATGTGAAAGGAAAATAAATCTCAGGACCCTGGCTGGGCATGGTGGCTTATGCCTGTAATCCCAGCACTTTGGGAGGCCAAGGTGGGGGATCACGAGGTCAGGAGATCGAGACCAGCCTGGCCAACATCGTAAAACCCTGTCTCTACTAAAGATTAAAAAAAAAAAAAAAAAAAAAATTAGCCAGGCATGTTAGCGTGTGCCTGTAATCCCAGCTACTTGGGAGACTGAGACGGGAATCGCTTGAACCCGGGAGGTGGAGGTTGCATTGAGCTGAGGTAGCAACACTGCACTCCAGCCTGGCAACAGAGCAAGACTCCCTCTCAAAAAAAAAAAAGAAGTTTCAGTTAGTATTTGCTGCTATCATAGTTGCATTTTTTTTATTTTCTCAAATAAAATTCCCAGCTTCTATGATGCTCTTTGTCACTGGCAACTTTGATCAGACAATTAAATGAAACAATTGAAGGGCATAACAGGATTTTGGAAGGGATGGTACAGGATTGGGAGATAGAACTAGAGATAGGAGTTTATAAAATATTTTCAAAAACATTGAAGAATAGGAATAAGAGAGTATGATATTGTGAAATATATATTTGATCTTCCTAGCACAGAACTCCTAAAATCCTTAGAAACTACAAAGTAAGAGTAAAAACTCTTTGTATGCTAATGAGTTGACTGATAGCTGGCATCCCCTATATAGTTTCAGGATGGGGACTGGTTATGGAAAGACCAGGGCATGACTAGAAGGCTGGGACATTCAACCCCACCCACAACCCCAAGGAGGGGAGGGGATTTTAATCAACCATGTCTATGTAATGAAGCCGTAAAACTCCCAAAAGACAGGGTTCGGAGAGCTTCCACATAGCTGAACATGTGGAGGTTCCTGGGTGCAACACCCTTTCTTCTGTACCTCGCCCTATGCATCTCTTCATCTATATCCTTTGTAATATCCTTTATAATAAACCAGTAAACATAAGTGTTTCCTGAGTTCTGTGAGCCACTCTAGCAAAATACTGAATTGCAAAGAGGGGGTGGTGAAAATCCCAATTTGAAGTTGGTGGGGTCAGATGTTCCAGAGACTGGACTTGTGACTAGTGGGAAGGGGGAGGCAGGCTTGGGAACTGAGCCCTCAGCGAATGGTGTCTGACCCATCTCCAAGTAGACAGCGTCGGAATTGAACTGGAGGACACCCAGCTGGTGTTCACTGCAGAACTCATTGAACTCACTGCTTGCTTGGTATGCGGGTGCTTGGTATGTGTGGGAAACTCCCCCATATTTGGTCAGAGAAGTCTTGTTATGATTAGTTCTCGAGATAATAGGAAAAAAAATGCACCTTTTGTTTTTTCCACTGATTCAGAGGGCATAACTGAAGGAAGGAAGAACTGAAAGAATGGTCTTAACACTCTGCTTCGCTTTTCTTCATAACACGCATTACTTCCCAGTATGCATCAGTGTCCTTTATTATTAATTTTTTCCTATTGAATTCTTCCCGCATTAGAACGCTGCTTCATGAAGTGGGGATTTTGTCTGATTGTTCACTGCCGTGTGCCCAGGGCCTACGACAGTGCCCGACACAGTAGGCGCTCAATAAATGGTGAATGAAAAACAGGGTAAGGCGGGGAGAGAAGAAACAGAAAGGGAAAGGAAAGAGAAAGCCCGGGCTGCCAGACAGCTTAATCACCCGTACGTCCTACCGGGCCCCTCTCCAGCTGGCTCTGGCCACACACTGGTCCTCCAGGCTCCCTTTTCTCAGCGCTGGGCTCACAAGCCCACACCGAGCGCTTGAGCGCGGACGCGGCTACTGCGCGTGCGCGTCACCGCGCTAGCGCCCCGGCCTGGCAGCCTTTGGGGACCCGAGCCAGCTGCGCCTGCGCAGTCAGAGCGGGTCCTCCCAGGCCTCAGGTGGAACGGGTGGGTGAACGGGCGGTCGAACGGCCTGAGAGGGTTCAGCTGGTCCGAGTGGGGTTCTGAAGGCCAGCGGAGGTGGGCTTACTAGGGAAGGCGGCGCAGCAGAAACTACCCGCAACGAGCGGCGAGACCTGCGGCCGCCAGGGACCCTCGGCCACCATCCCAGCATCCTCTGCGCCGCGCCGGCCCTGGACTTCATTTCCCAGCGGCCCCTGCGGCCTGCCCTAGCGCTGCGGCGCCTTTGTGAGCGCGGCCGGCGGCCAGGATCGAGCCCTGGCCCGGGCCCTGGCCCAGCCCCGGCCTCCAAGGACCGCGCGAAGGAAGTACCCACCGGAGGGAGGAGGCGGTGAGGAGCGCGGGATGGAGCTGACGCCGAGAGCGGCCATGCCACCGTGTGTGGGACCGTGTGTGACAGTGTGTGAGAATGTTGTGACATTAAGGAACCGTGTGTGACAATGTGTTTGACAGTGTGGAACCGTGTGTGAGACCATGTGACTGTGTGAGAATGTGAGACTGTGTGTGACAGTGTGAGAATGTGTGTGAGACCGTGTGTGAATATGTGTGTCAGTGTGAGACCATGTGGGACAAATGTGGGATTGTGTGTGACAGTGTGAGACTGGGTGTGAGAATGTGTGTGACAGTATGAGACCGTTGCCCCTGTATGTGCGGGAGCCTTTGACAGTATATGGGACCGTGTGGGTTGTGTTTAAGACCACATCACCATGTGTGAGACTGGGAGTGTGTGACAGTGTTAAACTGTCACTATGTGTAGACCGTGTGTGAACAGTGTGTAAGACCATGTCACTGTGTGTGTGACCTGTGTGTGCGGGATAATGTAAGACTATGTGACAGTGTGTGTGACTTTGTGAACAGAGTTTGACCATGTGTGTAGAATCACGTGAGACTGTGACAGTATGTCAGGCCGTGTCACCGTGTGTGAGGCTATGTGTGGTTGTGTACGGTATGTGGCTGTTGATGTGGGACCACGTGAAACTGCGACTGAGAATTTGTGTGACAGTGTGTGAGACTGTCACTGTATGTGAAACTATGTGAACAGAGTTCGTGTTGTTGGACTAAGATTGTATTGACAGTGAAATTGTGCATGACTGTGTGTGATTATGTGAGACTGAGGGAGATTGTGTGACTTAGCACTGTGTGTCATTCCGACAATGAGTGTGACAGTGTGACTCAGAATGGCCTTATATGACCCATTGTGAGAGCAGGGCGGGCTACAATGTGGGGGCATGTCCATAGGTTGCCAGGGGAGGTGCCAGAGTGACAAACTGTGTGGTTTGTTGTCTGTGATTTGTGTGGGCAGGAAGCTATGTGGGTGCTTGGAGATGCTGGTGTTCTCTGGGGTTTGGGAGACTGCTGTTGTGGTGGAGAGACAGAGAGATGGAGATGAAGGGGAGAAGATGGAAAAAGGGAGAGGGGAAGAGAGCTGGAAAGGGAGAGACAGACAGGAGCCTCAGACTTAAGCCTGAAAACACTGGCTGCTTGTCCTCTGGCACAGTAGTTTTTCCATCCCTCTCAGTCTCTGGGGGCATGTGAGGAATTTAACAGGAAAAAGGAATGGGAGACCTACCATGTGCTATTTATGAAAATAAATGACAGAAAGATGAAAATTTATTTAAGAAAGGATGTACCAAGCACTGTGCTCAATGCTTTATGTAGATCATTTCAGAATCCTCCCAACAATTGATAGGGAATAGTTACCGTTTCACTGATAGGGAAACAGGTTTGCAGTGGTTACCTAACTTGCCAGAGGTTGTAGAGGTAGCATGTCGTGGTTTGGCTGTTTGAGACCAAGTGTTCTGATCCTTAAGCCTAGTCATTCTTACCACTGAGTTATGCTGCTTCTTAGGTAATAGCTTTATTCTTCAAGACAGTGAGGTCTGGTGGATAAGAATTAATGATAAGGGTTTGGATGACTGTTCATGCATAGCCCCTCCTTCCCTCTCTCCTTCTTTCTCTCTGAGGAGATTGCCCAGAAAAGTCAAGAGATTAGTTTTCAATTGTGGGTTGTCATAAGCCAGGACCTGAAGCAGGCCGTCTTGACTCTTTGATCGAGTGTCCACCACACCACATGGACCCTCTGATGCTCACTCTGTGTATAGAGATGCTTTCTCTGAGAAATTTTATTTTGTAGCTTTATCTCTCATCCTTGCAGAAAGGGTGGGAACATATTTCCTTTCAACATCATGATCGGGTGGAAAGAATTAAAAGTTAGACCTGGTTTCCAGTTTGGCTTAATTCCTTATTACCATGATGCCTTGAATAATTAATTACTCAGATGAAGAGCCTTCGTGTGTGAAAGAGAGGGAAATCCTTGCTTGGTAATGCCATTGTGTAATTGCTGTTTTTGTTTTAAATTATAAAAGGAAAGGTAACCTAAGCACAGAACATGTATTTTTTTTTTTTTTTTTTTTTTTGAGACAGAGTATTGCTCTGTTGCCCAGACTGGAGTGCAGTGGCGTGATCTTGGCTCACTGCAAGCTCCGCTTCCCGGGTTCATGCCATTCTCCTGCCTCAGCCTCCCGAGTAGCTGGGACTACAGGCGCCCACCACCACACCCAGCTAATTTTTTGTATTTTTTAATAGAGACTGGGTTTCACCATGTTAGCCAGGATGGTCTCCATCTCCTGGCCTCATGTCTTGATCTCCTGACTTCGTGATCCGCCGCCTCAGCCTCCCAAAGTGCTGGGATTACAGGTGTGAGCCATCGCACCTGGCCCATATGTTGTATTCTTAAGATCCAAAGCATGTGGGCAAAAGAATTGTAAATTTAGATATAAATGACTTGCTCAGTGATATCTCTAATTTACTCCTGAGGTTGGGGAAAGAAGGAGAAAGAGAAGGAAAGGTTTCTAGGCTGATGATACTGACAGCTGCAGGGCAGGCCTGGCATTTTATGGTTTTTTTTCCTTCTCCAGCTCTACTTTCTCAGGATACCATCCCTCTCCTGGAGAGGAGCCTGAAGGAGTAGGACAGAAGAACTGTCAAATTCTGGAATCCTTAAAGCCATGTCCAAGGTAAGGAAGCATTTCTTCTCTCTTCCCTAAAATGCCATCTTATTTTTTAGGTTATACGAACATTTTGTTTTTCTTCCAAAATACTCCAACCTAACAAGGTTCCATTCATCCAGTGACTCGTTCCTCATATCTTGCTTTCCAGTAAAAGTCCCCAAAAGCTTAGTCATCTTTTTTTCCACAGCCAGCATTTTTATCTTCACTCAAGAAATAGTTCGGCACCTCCTCTGGGTTTAGTGTCTGTTAGAAGCTCTCAAGATGGAAAAATACACTCACTGGGCCGGGCGCGGTGGCTCAAGCCTGTAATCCCAGCACTTTGGGAGGCCGAGACGGGCGGATCACGAGTTCAGGAGATCGAGACCATCCTGGCTAACACGGTGAAACCCCGTCTCTACTAAAATACAAAAAAAATTAACCGGGCGAGGTGGCGGGAGCCTGTACTCCCAGCTACTCGGGAGGCTGAGGCAGGAGAATGGCGTGAACCCGGGAGGCGGGGCTTGCAGTGAGCTGAGATCCGGCCATTGCACTCCAGCCTGGGCAACAGAGCGAGACTCCGTCTCAAAAAAAAAAAAAAAAATACACTCACTGGTATATGAAAACCTTCACTGTAGTAAGTTGATTCATTGAGATTGAGGTGTATGTTCAGATGTAACCACTAGCATAAATAAAGCTTTTCCACAGACCTAGGTTTGAAAAGAAGGCGAGACAGGAGGGTTGTCAGGTGGTCTTAGTCACAGAACAGGGCAGAGTCTCTTGCTCAAAGTGATTTTGAGGAGTGAGATGTGTTGAGTCTTGAATATTAAAGTGTGGGTCAGCTAGGGCAGGGATTTTTCCAAGCACTCTGTGGGCTTTAAAGAATAGTATTCCAGGGAATAATGAGGTACCATTTTAGGGACATTCTCAGTGTCCACAGCTATGTTATTCTAGGTCATCCAGTTAAGTGGAATTAATATGTAAAAAATAGAACTTTTTTTGAAAAAGAGTAATGGGAGAGCACTTAAATCTACATTAAAATAAAAGCTGTATATATCTATAATAATGAAAACAGTAGATAGTGTGGAATGGAGCCAGAAGAAACATATGATGTTAAGAAACAAATCCAAGTATAAGAATTCCATAAGAATGGAAATATTCATTCACTGAACATATAGTTATTAAAGACCTTATGCTAAGTGCTGTGATAAATAAAAATAGGCCCTGTCTTTGTCTTCATAGAATTTAATGTATACTAGTTTAATTATATGATGTACTGATGTTATTTTAAATCAATAGGGAAGGGATGGAATATTCATTTAGTAAAAAAAAATTACACATAGATAAAAATACGTAGAGGTTAAATACATTATATAGGTTAAATATGTATAAAAAAACACAAACCTCTAGGTTAAAATACAGAGAATGGAGAAAGAGTAAGGTGAGGCAGATGCAGAAATCAGCTAGTACAGCACTGTCCAATAGAACTTTCTGTGATGATTGACAGTAGAAATGTTCTATATCTACAGTGTTTAATATAGAAGCCACTAGCCAGATGTGGCTACAAAGACTTGTGTATACTAGCATGACTGAGAAACTGAATTTTTAAATGTTACTTGATTTAAATTTAGCCATATGTAGCTAGTAGCTAGTGTATTAGACAGCACAGTGTTAGGCTTATAAAACAGTAAAGCCGGGAAGATAATTATGGGTGATCTTGTCCAAGTTTCCCATTCTACAGATGAAGAAAAGGAGGCCCGGGGAAGAGAGTGACATGTCCACGTAACCAGTTAGTGACTGAGTCAGATGTAAGAAGTTGTAATATACATTGAGGGTCAGTAAGGTCGATGATGGTGAGTGATGATATTAAGAGGGTGGTGAAAAATGATGAAGGACACTGTAGCGAGACTGTGATGGGGCTCATTATTTCACTCCCATGCCCGGAACCTTTATTGCCTTCCTGTCTTACTTGGAATGAAATCCAGTATCCTAACCATGGCCTATAAGGCCCTTTGTGCTTCAGCTCCTGGCTTTCCTAGACCTCATTTTCTATAAATATTTACCTCTCTTCATTTTAATGACAGTAGTGAATTTGCTGTCTCTCAGACTTACTCTGCTTTTTCTTGTCTCTGGACTTTTGCATTTGCTCCCCCATCCCCCTACATGTTGACATAGCTTGCCCTCCCATTTCACTCAGATTATTGTTCAAACCTTACCTCTTCGTTTAGACTTACCTTGACCATATCATCTACAATAAACACCCTATCACTCTTAATCACCCTTTACCTTCTTTTGTTTTTTGTCACATGTCACTACCTGACATGTATGACCTTATGTTTAATGTTTTTCTCCTTTGTTAGAATATTAAGAGGAGAAACTTTGTTTTGTTCACCTTTGTATTCCTGACTCTTAGAATAGTGCCCAGTTGGTAATAGGCATTCAGATGAATTCCTCATCTGTGAGCGAGACCAGGATAGCTAGAGCTAGACACCTCTTCTTTCCTGCTACTGATTTGGTAACAGAAGAAAGAAAAAGCTGAAAGTGTGATGTATAGAATAGATGGAATCCATTAGCCCAAATGCCGTTTCTAGGACCCCTCCCCAGACCTCCTGAATCATGGTCTCTTGGTGGCACCTAAGAAAACACATTTTTATTGGGTTTCCCAGGATTATTATTATTATTTTTTTTGAGATGGGGTCTCGCTGTGTTGCCCAGACTGGTTCTGAACTTCTGGCCTCCAGTTATCTTCCTGCCTCAGCCTCCCAAGTAGCCCAGTAGCTGGATTACAGGTATCCAGGATGATTTTAATGCATGGCTTTTGAGAACCTCTGCCTTTAAAGATTATATTTAAAGTATGCCTCTTGTAAGCAGCATATAATTGATTAGTTTTAAAAAGGCTAGCCTGATCATCTTAATCTTTTAGTGTTTATTACATATTTAATATAATACTTGTAGATATGTTTTTAAAACTACTGTATTTCTGTTTGTTTTCCATTTATCCCATCTATTCTTTTTTCCTTTGTTTCTCCTGAACAGGATGAGATGCCTATGGTGATTTAACTCCACAGTATTATTATTGCTCTATTTATAGTTACTGCTTTAGAACTCTTAATTTATTCCTGTGTTTTCATGCTTCCATTTTCCTTCTGTTTTACTTCTACCTGAAGAACTCTTTGAGGATGTCTTTGAGTGCAAGGCAACACTTTACTCCCACCCTTAATTGTTTTTTTTTTCACTTCAAAAACAATTTGATCGTATTGTTGCTGGGTCAAAATAGTGTAATTAAAAATTTTTTTGAGGTTAAGTAATTTTGTGAAGTCCTGGTCTCAATGGAGAGAATGACATCTATGAATCAATTAAAAAAAAATAATTCAAGACCTATGCAACATCATAGTAAAAAATTAAGATTTACCCAGCCGGGTGCGGTGGCTCACACCTGTAATCTCAGCACTTTGAGGGGCCAGGCGGGTGGATCATCTGAGGTCAGGAGTTCGAGACCAGCCTGGCCAACATGGTGAAACCCCATCTCTACTCAAAATACAAAAATATTAGCTGGGCATGGTGGTGGGTGCCTGTAATCCCAGCTACTTGGGAAACTGAGGCAGGAGAATTGCTTGAACATGGGAGGTGGAGTTTGCAGTGAGCCGAGATCATGCCACTGCACTCCAGCCTGGGTGACGAGGGCAGAAAACTCCGTCTCAAAAAAAAAAAAAAATTAAGATTTACCCAACTGAAAATAAGCATGGGGGTTAGTAAGTAAGACAGGGCATAATTGTACTATATAATATTATTCAGCTAATAATTGACATTATCAGTAAGTGAAATATATACATAATCATAGACATCAGTATAAGGAACTGTTTGAACAGATTATACTAACTATAAATTATAATTGCTTTTAGGAGGTCGAGTGACACGGGAGTAAACATGGGGGTGAAAGATTTCCAATCCTAGCACTTTGGGAGGCCAAGGCAGGAGGATCACTTGAGCCCAGGAGTTTGAGACCAGCCTGGGCAACATAGTGAGACATCATCTGTACCAAAAATTAAAAAAATTACCTGGGCCTGGTGATGAGCGCCTATGGTCCCAGCTGCTTGAGAGGCCGAGGTTGGGAGAATCATTCAAACCTTACAAGTTGAGACTGCAATCAGCCATGATTGTAACACTGCACTCCAGCCTGGGCGACAGAGCAAGATCCTGTCTCCTAAAAAATAAAATTTAAAAAAAAAGGAGTGGGGGGAAATCACTGAGGGTAGAAATACTGGAGAGTATATTTTTAAGTTTCTTTAATGATAGTAATTTTTAAATTAAATCAAAATAATTATAAAAAGCATTTGCAAGGTATTCATGGTCTCATTGGCTGAGAGGAAAATGTCAGATAATTAAAACACAGAATGCATTAGTTCATGTGTGCAGCTAAAAAGTGTCTCTTGAGGACTTTGTGTAGCAAAAGCTTCTTCATTAATGTCTACACAATAAATGATGTGTGTGGAACACTTTCCTGCCCAAAATTTTAAAGAGTTTGTATTGAAGTGTTTGAGTTACAGTAGAATTGATGAATAGCAGTGCCCAGGCCTATCCAGCACAAGTTTTACTTTTTAGACCTGATTCACATTCCTTTCCTTTTTTGAAGTGACAAGTCACTTCCTTAGATATCCTTGTATTAAGAAGTGTTTCAGAGATGGAAGCTTTTTAAACAGCTGATGCATGTAATTGATGTTTCTTGGAGCCATACTTTTGCTTTCTTTATAGATAACCTCCTTAACATTTTTGTGCATCGTTCTGACAGTAGCAGTTAACATTGACTCATTTTTTTTTTCCATTAAAAAGGTTTCTAAATAAAACTACTGATGTATTTGAGTATTTCTTCAACAGGAGCATTACTCTGCAAAGAGTCATACAAGGGTAGGGGTGATGTTCATATTTGACAACCAACAAGGCAAAGGCACACAGCAGAACATATCTTAGCTGGGATCCTGGCGTTTGCTGCCATGCTGGGCATTAATCTTCAGTTGCTGAATTCCTTATGGAGAAATCTGGTCACTAGCAGCACTCAGTGCAGTAGCTGTTTACCAGTGAGTGTGGCAATATTTCAGTATTTAAGGAATCAACATAGCTGCTCAGGTGTGTACCATTGAATCCCATCTCTATGTCAGCCCAGCTTAAGAACAGGCTTTGCTCTGTGACATGTCAAAACCAAGATGCATATGCCTAACCATACAGCAAGCCCTGGTAAGTCTTGAGCTGATTTATCTTGTTAGGAAGAAGACCCATTTTTAATTTTTAGGGAGCGAACTAGGTCTCGTTCCATGTTATCTTAAAGATCCTTACTTCAACATGCAGTAGTATTTGGGAGCTGTACTGTAACATTTTAAAAACTCTCTTGCTCATCAAACAGGCACAGTTGTGTATGTTCTTCTAGTGAGAGCGGTGGGTATTTTTTGATGCATTTCATTATCAGACTTGGAGACATTCACTATTTAAGTAAATTAATAGTGCTTAAATTATATTATTTTGTCTGTTATGTAGCATATTTATAAGTTACCAACTATCTTTACAACTTAGTGGGGTTATCAAGAGCTGTTAGGCAATCATTTGTTGCCTCTTCCACACAGTCTCAGGAAAATTTTTATTTCCAACGGAAATTTGTCCTATATTGAAATAACTTTTATTGTACTTCTTTGATTCCTTCTTATCAAGTACTGATTATACAGATTCAAACATTTATTATAATAGTACTCTTCTTCTCAAGACATTAGAAGTCACAGTCTTGGAGATCAACTTCATTTTATCTGTGACAAATTTTTTCTTGTTTTGATTGAGATACCTTTTTGTTTGTTTGTCTTTAGAAACAGGGTCTCACTATATTGCCCAGGCTGGACTCAAGCATCCCAGGCAATCCTCCTGCCTCAGCCTCTTGAGTACCTGGGACTTTAGACATGCACCACCACCTCTGGCCTGATTCAGATACCTTTTGTGACATCAAGCTGCTGTTCATCTAAACCATATGCCTTCCGTTCATTTAAACCATCTACAGGGGAGGAATTTGTGTAAAACAAATGTTTAAAGTACAACACACACAAGACCTAGGTTGTCATTATGAAATGTGTACTCTGAAATGTAAAAAATACGTGAGATACCTGAGGTCATCAGTGAGATGAAATGCATCACTTTGACAGCTGATTAGCTAATGTTATCTTTGCCACCAAGCACAAATTCAGTGGCATACTTCCCCACACATTAGGTAATCTGTCACTCAGCTTCTTTTTTTTTTTTTTTTTTTTTTTTTTTTGAGACGGAGTCTCGCTCTGTCGCCCAGGCTGGAGTGCAGTGGCCGGATCTCAGCTCACTGCAAGCGTCACTCAGCTTCTTGATTGCTCTCTGTTATGGTATACATTTAAGCCATATTTTTGCAAGTCAGTATAAAACTTTGTTTACTGTTTCTATTATGTATATTTAATTTCAGAAAGTCAATATTGTAAGCATCAAACATATTTATATGTATTTTTATACAACCCTATTGATGTCTCTGGAACATTGACCATTTCATTGTACTGAGTTTGGAAAAATGCCAGGTTCAGCCATATACACGTTATAAAGCTTAACTCAGCCTGTTTCCTCCTTGAAGCTCTTTACTTCCCCAGTGTATCTGATTTTCCAATATTGAGAAATAACTCTGGCATTTAATATGAATAACATATTTTATACTCGATTTACAGTGTTCTGTTATTTTCCAGTTTTGTGTATGTTATAAATCCTTTTCTCCAACAGGATTATCTCTCAAATTGTATACTTTCCATGACAGAATATCAAAACAAAGCACAAAGAAGTCATCTAGTAATTATCTGACATGTGTTGCCTAGAACCTAAGATACTGTCAGAAAGTTTTGCTATGTGCAATATTTCTCTCTCAAAGTATAGACAATTTAACTTTTTAACCTAGGCTCATGTGAGGATATGAACACTAGTTGAGCAAGAATGTGTTTATGTCATTTCAGGATTTGGTGACATTTGGGGATGTGGCTGTAAATTTCTCTCAAGAGGAATGGGAATGGCTAAACCCCGCTCAGAGGAATTTGTACAGGAAAGTGATGTTGGAGAACTACAGGAGCTTGGTATCACTGGGTAAGGACGTCTCCTGTAATTCAGAATCTGTACATGGGACTGAGCTCCAGTGTAATGTTGGGAAACCTCTGATGTCCTTCACTAAATTTACCTTTCTTGTGCTTCCCAAAATAGGTTGAATTTGTAGAACTGGCAGCTTCATCTTCCCCATTCTTATTCCTCAGCTCCCTCCCATTATGCTCCCACCTTCTTGATGATGCAGAAACTTGATCTTACTTATATACCTGCCTAATTCCCCTTTTATTTTTTGTAAGCAGGAGTTTCTGTTTCTAAGCCAGATGTGATCTCATTATTGGAGCAAGGAAAAGAGCCCTGGATGGTGAAGAAAGAGGGAACAAGAGGCACATGCCCTGGTGAGTAAGAGAGAAATAGGGAGATAGAAGACATTGCCAGGAAAAGCTCAGCAATTCTGAAAGATTTCAGTTCATCATTGATGTTTCCTGGGTAGCTTTTCTTAAAGATTCGAAGTCTGGGAAGAAATATTGAGGCATCTTTAGCATGAGCTCCTCAATATGTTCTCTCTGTTTATATTCTCTCACAAGTTATGGTCTTCTCTGACAGTAATCTTCTCTGATAACCCATTTTCCTATTGTTGGATCCAAATGTCACAGCATCTCCTTGTCCTTGCCTTTTAGTTTTATACAGGTTGCTTTGTTTCATTTTTTAAAAATCCAGGTGCCTATAATCCCGGCTGTTTGGGAAACCAAGGTGGGTGGATCACTTGAGCCCAGGCGTTCGAGACCAGCCTGGGCAACATGGTAAAACTAAAAATACACACACACAAAAAATCAGCCAGGGCTGGTGGCATGCGCCTGTAATATACATGGGAGGCTGAGGTGGGAGGATCACCTGAGCCTGTGATCTGAGAGCACGCCACTGCACTCCAGCCTGGGCAACAAAGCAAGAGCCTGTCTTAAAAAAAAAAAAAAAAAGAAGCTAGGTTTTTTTGGTTTGTTTTTTGTTTTTTTTCCTTTCTCAGTTACTCATTCCTTTTAGATTGAAGGATTGATGCATTTATTTATTCTTTTTCCAAGCCTCATTGGCTTTATGTTTTTTTTGTTTGTTTGTTTGTTTTTGAGATGGAGTCTCGCTCTGTCGCCTAGGCTGGAGTGCAGTGGACGGATCTCAGCTCACTGCAAGCTCTGCCTCTCGGGTTTATGCCATTCTCCTGCCTCAGCCTCCCGAGTAGCTGGGACTACAGGCGCCCGCCACCTCACCCGGCTAGTTTTTTGTACTTTTTAGTAGAGACGGGGTTTCACCGTGTTAGCCAGGATGGTCTCGATCTCCTGACCTCGTGATCCGCCCGTCTCGGCCTCCCAAAGTGCTGGGATTACAGGCTTCAGCCACCACGCCCAGCCGACTTTATGTTTTGAGAAGAGGATTCTGCTAAATTCTTGGGATTATTCAGAGGCTTATACACCAGCAAAGAAAAAAGAAAGCCAATTTTATTTACAAGTGTGGATAACTACAAGATGATAACACTTAATAGAAACAATCATAAGAATAGGTTGATAGGAGGAAAGATGATAAATTTGGCTGTGGACATAAGAGGGTTATATGTATAAGATGAGGAGAGTTCCAAGCAAAGAAATGCAACATGCAACTGGTTTAGAAGATAGGGTCTGAGAAAAATACTCTGATTTAGAGATGTCAGTGTGAATGAATGAGATCACTGGTCTTAAGAGTTTGAGAGATAAAGCCTGATGCTGAGGCCTTTGTGGGAGAAGTGAATCTTTGACAACTTTCTCAGTATCCTCCATGGTAAATGGCATCTCTGTAGTTTGTCTTTGGTTAATATATATATATTTTTAGATGGGGTCTTGACCTGTTGCCCAGGCTGGAGTGCAGTGGTGCACTGCAACCTCCACCTCCCAAGTTCAAGCAGTTCTCCTACCTCAGCCTCCCAAGTAGCTGGGATTACAGGCATGCGCCACCATGCCCAGCTAATTTTTCTGTATTTTAAGTAGAGATGGGGTTTCACCATGTTGGTCAGGGTGGTCTTGAACTTGTGACCTCAAATGATCTGCCCACCTGGGCCTCCCAAAGTGCTGAGATTACAGGCATGAGCCACTGCCTCCAGCCTGTCTTTAGTTAAATTTTATGCATTTTAATTTTTCTAGATAATTGTTCTTTTCATTTAGGTTATCAGATTTCATGAATTTGAGCAAAGTAATATACAATTATTTTTCTTTTTTTATATCTATAATGGTTTCCAATTTTAATTTCTTATTTTGTATAACTATTCTTTTTTAAAAAGAATATATTGGTCGGGTATGGTGGCTTACACCTGTAATCCTAGCACTTTGGGAGGCCGAGGCATGTGGATCATGAGGTCAGGAGTTCAAGACCAGCCTGGCCAAGATGGTGAAACCCCGCCTCTACTAAAAATACAAAAATTAGCCAGGTGTGGTGGCAGGCTCCTGTAATCCCAGCTACTCAGGAGGCTGAGGCAGAGAATCACTTGAACTCAGGAGGTGGAGGTTGCAGTGAGCCAAGATCACACCACTGAACTTTAACTTGAGACTCTGTCTCAAAAAAAAAAAAAAAAGAATACATGTATTATTAGGTCGCTCTGTTCATAAATAAGTTTATTTTTAAATAATTAGCTTATGGATTTATGTATTAGTATTCTTTTCCAATTTTCTGTTTTTTTCCATACTAATTCATAAAATATTTTCTCCTTACTAATTCTTTCCTTCTAATTTTCTTATTTATTTTTATCTCCATAGTGCTGAAATGAGAGCTTGATCTATTAATTTCATTCTTTTATTTAGTAATGAGATTATTAAGGACTATGAATTTTCCTCTAAGTTTGTCTTTGTCTATCTCCTGTAGATTCTGATACTTGTGTTTTTGTTACTGCTGTTCATACTAGATAATCTACCTTAAAAATTTTTTTCTTTCACCCAGAGTTGTTTAAAAGAGAGTTTTCTGGTTTTATTGTATTTGATCAGATAGTATTATTATTAAGGAATTATTTATATTCAGTAAACTGGATACATATAAATTGTACAGTTTGATCATATACCCATGAAACTGTCACCACAATCAAGACACATTTAGTATTTCTATCACCCCAAAAGATTGCTTGTGTCTTTCTATCTATCCTACTCTCCACTCCCAGTTCCAAACAAACATGAATCTGATCTTTGTTGTTTTTTATTAATTTGCATCTAAAGTAAATGGAATCATACAGTATGTATTTTGTTATGTCTGGCTTATTTCACTCAGCATAATGATCTTGAAATTTATCTATATCATTGCAGTATGAATGCAACATTTCATTTATCCGTTCACCTAGGGATGGACATTTGGGTTGTTTCCACTTTGGGGCTATTATAAATAAAGTTGCTATACAGCTGTCATGTACAGGACTTTGTGTGAACATATATTTTTATTTTTTGGGGGTAAATACCTAAGATGGAAGAACTGAGTTATATGATAGGTATATGTTTAACTCTGTTAGAAACTGTCAGCTTTCTGAAGGAATTATACCATTCTTCTAGCAGTGTATGAGACTTCCAGTTAATCCACATTCTCACCAAATCTTGGTATCATTAGTAGTATTTTTAATTTTAGTCATTCTAAAAGTTGTGTTGTAGTTTTAGTATGCATTTCTGGAATGACTAATAATGTTGAGCCTCTTTTCATATGCTTACTGGCCATGCATATAACATTTATGAAATATTTGTTCAAATATTTTGCCCATGTTTTATTGGATTGTTTATCTTATGAGTTGTAAGAGTTCTGTATATTGTCTTAAAACAAGTTCTTTGTCATTTATATGTATTGGCTTATATGTATGCCAATTATGGCTTGCCTTTTTGTTTTTCTACTGCCACCACTGTTGGAGGCAAAGTTTGCAATTCTTGTAAAATCCAATTTATTAACTTGTCTTAGTTGGTGCTTCTTATATCTAAGAAATTCTTGCTACTCCCAGGTCACAAAGATATTTTTCTAGGAGTTTTAAAGTTTTAGCATTTACATTTAGCTCTGTGAATGATTTTGAGGTAATGTATGTGTCTTGTGTGAGGTAAAGGTTGAGGTTCATTTTTTTTTCCATATGGATATACAGTTGCCCCAAGACCGTTTGTCAGGAAACACTTTCTCTTCCTAATTGTATCACCTTGCTACTTTTCCTGATCATCACTTGACCATATATGTGTGGGTATAGTTCTGGAATCTCTTCTGTTCCATTGATCTATATGTCTATTGTCTCACCAGTTCCATACTGCCTTGATTACTGTAGCTTTATGGTAAGTTTTGATATCAGATAGTGCAATTTGTAAAATTGCCTTGACTGTTTTAGATCATTTGCATTTCATATAAATTTCAGAATGAAGTTGATAATTTCTACTCAAAAAACTTAGATTTTTGCTGGGATTACATTGATTCTGTACATCAATTGAAAAAGAACTGACCTCTTAACATTGAGTCTTCTAATATAAGTATGGTTTATTAAGCCATTTATTAGTCTTTAAAAATGTCTCGAAGTTGGGTGTGATGGTGTGCGCTGGTAATCTTAGCTACTTGGGAGGCTGAGTTGGAAGGATTACTTGAGTCCAGGACTTTGAGACTAGCCTGGACAACATAGCAAGACTCTGTCTGAAAAAGAAAAAGGAAAAATAATAAAATTTATCTTAAGAATATTTTGTAGTATGCAGTGTAGTCGTACTGTGTTAAATTTTTTTCCTAAGTGTTTAATAGCTTTTTGAGTGCTATAATAAATATAATTTTTTAACAATTTGGTTTTCTAATAGTTTGCCCCTAGTAGGCAAAAAATGTAAATTGATTTTTGTATTAACTTTACATCTTATGACCTTGCTAGATTCATTTAATAGTTGCCCTCACAGTTATTTTGTAGGTCTATGAGGATTTTTTGGATGGACAATCATGCCATCTACAAATAGTTTTTTTTTTCCTTCTGATCCTTTGAGAATTACACCTTACACCTTACACCTTATTTTTCTTGATGTATTGCAATGGCTAGGACCTCCTGTCTAATGTGTAATTGAAGGGGTAAGAGGAGATGTACTTGTGCTGTTCCAGTCTTAAGGGGAAATGTATTCTATCTTTACTGTTAAGTCAGTGTAAGCTGTAAGTTTTTCTTAGATGTCCTTGATCAGTTTGAAAATATTACTTTCTATTCCTGGTTTGCTGAGCATTTTTATAATAAATGGATCAGATACTATTTCTACATCTGTTGAAATGATAATGTGATTTTTTTTTCATTAACCTTTTAATATGGCGAATTACACTGATTGATTTTCAAATGTGAAACCAATCTTGCATTTTTGGGATAAACTCTACTTGGTCAAGATGATGCTATTCATATTTTCCTGGATTTGATTTGCCCAGTTTTATTAAAGATTTTGCCTTATGTACATGCGCTACATTGGTCTGCAGGTTTACTTTTATTTATTTATTTGTATATATATTTTTTTCAAGACGGAGTCTTACTCTGTCACCAGGCTGGAGTGCAGTGACTCAATCTCAGCTCACTGCAACCTCCACCTCCTGGGTTCAAGTGATTCTCCTGCCTCAGCCTCCCGAGTAGCTGGGACTACAGGCACATGCCACCACGCCTAGCTAATTTTTGTATTTTTAGTAGACACGGGGTTTCACCCAGTTGGCCAGGATGGTCATGATTCTTGTCCTCGTGATCTGCCCACCTCGGCCTCCCAAAGTGCTGAGATTATGGGCGTGAGCCACCGCGCCCAGCTTGCAGGTTTACTTTCTTAAAATTTTTTTTATCTGGTTTTGGTATCAAGATAATACTGGCCTTATGAAACCAAGTTGGAAAGTGTTTTATCTTTTTCTATTTTCTGACAGTTTGGATAAAATGATATTATTTCTTCCTTAAATATTTGATAGAATTCACCAATGAAGACATCTGGGCCTGAAGTATTTTTTAAATAACAGCTTTAATGGATATAGGGTTAATCAGGTTATCTGATTTTTGTTGAATCAGCTTTGGTAGGCTGTGTCTTTCAAGAGATTTCTGTGTTTCATCTGAGTTGTTCAATTTATTAACATTTTTTAAAAACAGCTGTACAATATGTAATGATAACTCCTCTGGTGTTGCTGATATCTGTTCTTTTTTTCTTGATAACTGATGTTTTAAAAGAACCTACTTTTGTTTTATTTCCTCTGTTGTTGTTTTTCTGTATTGTTAATTTTCTTTCTTAACTTTTTGCTTCCACTTTCCTTAAGTTTACTTTGGTCTTTTCCTCACTTTTTTTTTTTTTTTTTTTTTTTTTTTTGAGACGGAGTCTAGCTCTGTCACCCAAGCTGGAGTGCAGTGGCCGGATCTCAGCTCACTGCAAGCTCCGCCTCCCGGGTTTACGCCATTCTCCTGCCTCAGCCTCCTGAGTAGCTGGGAGTACAGGCGCCCGCCACGTCGCCCGGCTAGTTTTTTGTATTTTTTAGTAGAGACGGAGTTTCACCGTGTTAGCCAGGATGGTCTCGATCTCCTGATCTCGTGATCCGCCCGTCTCGGCCTCCCAAAGTGCTGGGATTACAGGCTTGAGCCACCGCGCCTGGCCTTTTCCTCACTTCTTGAGGTAACATCTTAGATTATTGATTTTTAGACTTTTAGTTGTTTTCTAATATAAGCATTTGAAAACTAGATTTTCCTTTAAGTACCGTTTTAGCTGTATCCCTCAGATTTTGATATGTTGTATTGTCATTATCAACCAAGATATTTTCTAATTTCTCTTACTATACTCTTTGGCCCATGATTTATATGATTTGGCCCATGATATATAACCTCTATTGAGGTTAGACAGCATACTCACCTTGGTTTCGGTACTTTAGAATTTATAGAGACTTGGTTTGTATATACTTGGTTTATAGTCTATCTTATTTACTGAACACACTGTGTGCACTCGAATACATGTTGTACAAGTGTTGATTGTAGTGTTGTATAAATATAAACTAGATCAAAGTAGTTAACCCTGTTGAGATCCTCTTTGTTACTATTTTCTCGTAGTTTTGTCAGTTTCCGAGCAAAGCATGCGTTAGTTGCCTATTATGACTATAGGATTACCTATTTCTTACACTTTCAATTTTTGTGTTATGTATTTTGAGGCTTTATATTAGGTGCACACACATTAAAGATTATTTCTTTCTGGTGAATTGATCCCTTTATTACTATATGTCTCTTTATCTTTGGTAATACTCAGTTTTAAAGTCTATTTTATCTGACACGAATATAGTCAGTCTGGCCTTATGCTTACTGTTTGAATGTTACATCTTTATCTGTTTACTATTTATTTTTAATGTATTCTTATATATAATGTGAGGTTTCTATAAACAGCATATAATTGTGTCTTTCATTTTGTTGATTCCTATAAACTCTGCCTTTTAACTAAATGAGTTCATTAATATTTAATTATTTGTATAATTTGAGTTGGGTCTACTATTGTTTTCTCTTTAATATTTCTCATTAAAAAATATTTGTTCATCTCTATCTTCTTTTGGGATGTTTGAATATTTTTTATAATTCCATTTTATTTTATCTGCTGGCTTGTTGTACCTTTTTATATTATGCTTCCAGTGGGTGCTATCGTGCAGTGATGCTCAAAATGTGGTCCTGAGACCAGCAGCATCACCTGTGAATTTATTAGAAATGAAGATTCTCAGCCCTCAACCTCCACTAACTCAATCAAAAACTCTGTGCACAGAGTATAGCAATCTGTCGTTTAGCAAGTTTTATCTAATTCTGATACACTCTAAAATGTAAGAATCATGCCTGTAACGATTATAACATCCATCCTTTTCAGTCTAATGAGAATTAGTATTCATCAATGACTATACCTATGTTTTTACTTCCTTATTATAGTTTTATCAACCTAATTCTGGGTTTATTTAATTAGATCATTGCTCCTTGGCAGTCATTTCATATTTCTTTTTTGACCCATGAGTCTTCAGAATTTAATTTTCATGTTGACTTTCTATAGGGCATTCATGAGTGTGATTTACAACTGTTTAGAGAGGAAAGTGGAATTTGGAAGGGCACTGAGGCAGCACAGTGGGAGTCAGCAGCCTCAATTTAAGTATGTTGCCTTCAGATTCTTTTCCTTCCAAATATCATTATCCACTATAATATTTTAATGGTAATATTCCATTTGATTTCAGACATTTACCCCATTCATGCAAGCATGTCATTCTAATAAGAGGATGAATTAGTGTGATGTTTTGTGTATTATTGATTCAGTATTTATTCCAAAGATACTAAGCATCTTCTATCTTTCCAGGCTATTTTAGGCAATGGGTGTTCAAGGGTGAGGAAAAAAGTTCCTACACATGAATGTTTACATTCTAATGAGAATAGAGAGTAAGTTAACATGTAATATGATATTAAGTAAGTTAGGTGCTGTGAAGTGCAAAGCAGGAGGAAGGGGAGTATGGAATACTTCATATTGGATGTTCAGCAAAGGCCATACTGAAGAGGTAATATGTGAACAGAACCTCAAGTGAAGAAGTGCACTGAGAGAAGGGATCAAGCAGGTATCTGTGGAAAGTGCTTTTCAGGCAGAGAAATGGCAAGTCTGGTGTTCCTAAAGTGGAAATATAGTGAATACCCATATGACTGAAGTGGAGGAAGCAAGCAAGAGAGTAGTAGAATATAAGATCAGAGAACACCAGGTCATGTAGAGTTTTATAAACCAGGGTAGGAATTTTGGCTTTATTATAAACATAGTACGAAACTACAGGAAAATCTTAAGCAGAAAAATGAAGTGATCTGATTTGGAACTGAACACGGGAAGGCAGAGTAAGTTCTGTGCTAGGTTAGTAAGACCAAGCAGTTTAATAGAAAACTACTCTTAAAGGAAGGCATCTTAGCTTCAGGGATCAATTGAAAATTTACATATGGTTGGAATTTGTTACATAGAAAATGATTTTCAGGAAGACTTTTTTCTAACTGCAGATGTTTACCCACAGAGTTTTATGAACAATATGAACAACCATAAAGTTTTACATGTATCCTAATAAGGATATTGATAGTGCCTAGTGTTGTTTTTAGGCCTGTGATTCCAATGGAGTTTTTAAATCATGTTAACATCATAAAACTGGCTTATTAAAGATAACTTAGCTTGAATGCAGGATAACCTATGATAAGAGAGGACAGGTGTTTGAAGTCTGTTATTAACTTCGATATAAAAAGCTGATTATGATTTTGGATGACCACCTTGTTTTGCTCTTCTTATATTTACCTTACTGGTTGTCAATGATTATTTCCTTAATCAACTCTCTTAAATTCTTATTATTTATAATGTCATTATTTTAGAATGCATTATAAGCTTTTAAATCCTTTAACTTGCTATGTATTTTATTCACATGTTTAAGTTTCTTCTAGTGAATTAAATACAAAAGACATTTGTTTCTTGATATCTTTTAGATTGGGAGTATGTATTTAAAAACAGTGAATTTTCATCAAAGCAAGAGACATATGAAGAATCATCCACAGTTGTGACAGTGGGAACAAGACATCTTAGTTATAGCCTTGACTACCCCAATTTGAGAGAAGACTGTCAAGGTAAGGACTGGTATAAGAACCAGCTGGGAAGTCAAGAGGTACATCTTAGGCAATTAATCATCACTCATAAGGAAATCCTTCCAGAAGTTCAAAATAAAGAATATAACAAATCTTGGCAAACATTCCACCAGGATACAATCTTTGATATACAACAGAGTTTTCCCACCAAAGAAAAAGAACATAAGCATGAACCACAAAAGAAAAGTTACCGGAAAAAATCTGTTGAAATGAAACATAGGAAAGTCTATGTAGAAAAGAAACTTTTGAAATGTAATGACTGTGAGAAAGTCTTCAACCAGAGCTCATCCCTTACTCTTCATCAGAGAATTCATACTGGAGAGAAACCCTATGCATGTGTTGAATGTGGGAAAACGTTCAGCCAGAGTGCAAACTTGGCACAACATAAGAGAATACATACTGGGGAGAAACCCTATGAATGTAAAGAATGTAGGAAAGCCTTCAGCCAGAATGCACACCTGGCCCAACATCAGAGAGTTCATACTGGAGAGAAACCCTATCAGTGTAAAGAATGTAAAAAAGCCTTCAGCCAGATTGCACACCTGACTCAGCATCAGAGAGTTCATACTGGAGAGAGACCTTTTGAATGTATTGAATGTGGAAAGGCCTTTAGTAATGGTTCATTTCTTGCTCAGCATCAGAGAATTCATACAGGAGAGAAACCTTATGTGTGTAATGTGTGTGGGAAAGCCTTTAGCCATCGTGGATACCTAATTGTACATCAGAGAATTCATACTGGAGAGAGACCCTACGAATGTAAGGAATGTAGGAAAGCCTTCAGCCAGTATGCACACCTTGCTCAACATCAGAGAGTTCATACTGGAGAAAAACCTTATGAATGTAAAGTATGTAGGAAAGCCTTCAGCCAAATTGCATACCTTGATCAACATCAGAGGGTTCATACTGGAGAGAAACCCTATGAATGTATTGAATGTGGGAAGGCCTTTAGCAATAGTTCATCACTTGCACAACATCAGAGAAGTCATACTGGAGAAAAACCCTATATGTGTAAAGAATGTAGGAAAACATTTAGCCAGAATGCAGGCCTTGCTCAACATCAGAGAATTCATACTGGAGAGAAACCTTATGAATGTAATGTTTGTGGGAAAGCCTTTAGCTATAGTGGATCTCTTACTCTACATCAGAGAATTCATACTGGAGAGAGACCCTATGAATGTAAAGATTGCAGGAAATCTTTCAGGCAGCGTGCACATCTTGCTCATCATGAAAGAATTCATACTATGGAGTCATTCTTGACTCTTTCCTCTCCCTCACCCTCCACATCAAATCAGTTGTCAAGACCTGTAGGTTTCATCTCCTGAATATGTCTGAAATCTCACCTCTTTAATCCATTTCCATTACATCATCCTTGTCCAATGCACATTAATATATTTGACATGGGATACTCGAGTAGCTTTCCAATTGGTCACCTTGTATTCACCTTTGTCTGTGTCAGCTGTCCACATTGCAGCCAAATTTGTATTTTAAAAAAATATGTTGAATATCATTTCTCCCTCATTAAAATTCCTCAGTGGCATCCCATAGTTTTTAAGTTAAAGTACACATTCTTCAAAATAGCCTAAAAACCTAGCCTCTAACACCTTGTTCCAGGCTACCTTCCAAAGTTCCTATCTTGTGTCACTACCCATCTCATTCTCTGAATACTTATCCAGGATTAAGACACATTTTCCAGAACCAAAAAGATCTGGGTTCCAATCTTTGCACTTCCATTTTCTGCCCTCTAATTTGGGGGCAGCATTTTGTGCTTTGTAAGCTTCAGTCTGATTTATAGTGTGGGAATAATAATGGTTCTACCTCAAAAGTTAAGAGAAGAATGAAATAATGCATGTAAATTGCTCAGCAGCGTGCCTAGCATAAAGTAATTAAACATTAATGTAAAGTAAAAAGATAACCATACTATACATAGAAGAGCCGATCATCTCGGCCATGATTATCTCAGAAATAAAAAAGAGATGCAGCAGCTCAGGACTGAGAGATTGTGAAGTTTTTTTTTTATTAGGAATGGTAGGCATTTTTCTAAAAGTAGGTAAGGAGAGTATCTAATACAGTAGGATTGACATTAGAGTCCGTCATATAGGGTAAAATGGTGGCTTCTATCTCAGCATTGACTAGATATTTAACAGTTCTAAGAAGCTAATGTCCTATTTTTAAAGTCTTTTTTTTTTTTTTTTTTTTTTTGAGATGGAGTCTTGCTCTGTTGCCCAGGCTAGAATGCAATGGTGCAATCTTGGCTCACTGCAACTTCTACCTCCCAAGTGATTCTCCTGCCTCAGCCTCCTGAGTAGCTGGGATTATAGACATGCACCACCATGCCTGGCTAATTTTTGTATTTGTAGTAGAGACAGGGTTTTGACATGTCGGCCAGGCTTTTCTCTAATTCTTGACGTCAGGTGATCTGCCTGTCTTGGCCTCCCAAAGTGCTGGGATTACATGCGTGAGCTGCCGTGCCTGGCATAAAAAGTCATTTTTTAATAAGACAGTTTACTGAGATGTATTCATCATTTACATGTAAACAAAGGCAAAATCAAAATTAAAAAGAAGTCGTGAAACAATCAGTAACCAAAGAAGAGTAGAAAATTAAGTTTGAACCCCTTTTCTAAATCTAGGTAAATGAGTTATATCAAACCTATGTCATTTAAACTAATAAAGGTTGTTAAATTACTAAAATTTCAAAACTAGTGAAGAAAAGAAACCAAAACTGTAGGTGAGTTCTCATAAACTGGCCCACAAACATGTTTGATTCTGTATGCATGAAGTTTAAAATACTTTCAGCAGACCATGTGTTTTCCCTTTCTCAAACATTCAAACCACTCCCTGATCCTTTATATCTGACCTTTTTAAATATTACTTCCTGACCCCAGAAGTCTTTTGGCATATAATCAATCCAATAATCAATTCACATATGACTATAGATACAAACAGAATGATGAAAGTTTAATGGAGGATGAAAAGGAAGACAAATATTTTATCCTTTATATGGTAAGATTGATTCACTAGGCCGGGCGCGGTGGCTCAAGCCTGTAATCCCAGCACTTTGGGAGGCCGAGATGGGTGGATCACAAGGTCAGGAGATCGAGACCATCCTGGCTAACATGGTGAAACGCCGTCTCTACTAAAAATACAAGAAACTAGCCGGGCGAGGTGGCGGGCGCCTGTAGTCTCAGCTACGTGGGAGGCTGAGGCAGGAGAATGGCGTGAACCTGGGAGGCGGAGCTTGCAGTGAGCTGAGATCCGGCCACTGCACTCTAGCCTGGGTGACAAAGCGAGACTCCGTCTCAAAAAAAAAAAAAAAAGATTGATTCACTATCATACCGATGTCAGTAGCCCATGAATTAATCTACAGATTCTACCTAACAAAAATCTAATATATTTTATAAGGTTTTAACATGTATGTGTGAACATACATATTCACACTGTTACACATATAAAGAAAATATATAACAAAAGTGACCTATCACATCAGTGGTTTAACAGTTTTGGAAAAATTTATTCTGCTCTATACAACAATTCATTCTTTACATATGTGAAAGTTATTTTCAAGTGGTTTGTCTAAATGTGGAACAAACAGTGATTAGAGAACTCTGTGGCACACTCTAATCATGGAATGAAAATGGCCTTCCTAAACATCACATGATGTTCAGAAGCCTCCCCACCTCCTGCCAACAAGTCATAGGTTTGACTGTATCAGACCTGTATAAAGATTTTATATGACCAAAGATAGCAAAACAAAGATACAATATTTTTTAAAGCTAAGAATGGGAGAAATTTATCGCAGCACATATAAACTATGGAATTCTTATCCTTAACATAAAATTGCTCATAAAAATCTCTTAGGAAATGATGCGTTTCTCCAGCTTATAGTCAAAGGATATGAAGAGGCAACAGGTGACCAATAAATATGTGGTAAGTACTAAATCTCCCTAGGATCAGAAGAAATACAGTTTAGGCCAATGAAATACTATTTTTTCAATATCAGGTTAATAAAACTTTGCATTGAAAGCATAGAAAAAGAGATACTATGCACAAATTTAAAAGAGCATGGGTTTGTACAAACTTTCTGGTAGGCAATTTGTCAACTTCAGAATTTTAATTGGGAAAAGTAGAATTTTATTTTGAAGTTCAAAAACTCGGCACACAATGTCTTTCCCTCCAGATCCTATTATACACATAGAACAATGTAAACGATACTTTTAAAAAAAAGTGAGGCTTTTGAGTGGATGAAATAATTTTGTAAACGGCAAAACAAGGAAGAGTGTTCATTCATGAAATGTAGCAGAAGATGCTGCATGTTATATGTGAATGACTGAAGGGTTTTGAAAATGGGATCTAGTCTGCCCAAAGGATCCCTAGAGAAGTTCAAGCTTGGAGTTGGCTTCTGTACAGGCTGTGGCTTCTAAGAAGACATGACGAAAAACCTCTTAAAGCCTTTCTATGTGAAAGTTATGTCAGTAACCCTTGCCAAAAGCCTCCTTACTCTCCCCTCTCTTATATAAGTAAATTTCACAGCATTAACAAGTATAAGTTCTAACAATAAAATCTAAATGTAAATTACTAAAGCAAAACTATTAGAAAAAAAATATAGTGGGATATGTTAATGACTTTGGTGTCAGACATGTCTTTCTAAAATATTCAAATACCGTAAGGGAAAAGATTGATAAAATTGACTGTGTCAAAACTTAGTGTGCTTTGGCCAGGCGCAGTTGCTCATGCCTGTAATCCTACCACTTTGGGAGATGTAGGCAGGTGGATCATGAGGTCAGGAGTTCAAAACCAGCCTGGCCAAGATGGTGAAACCCTGTCTCTACTAAAAATAAAAAATTAGCCAGGTGCAGTGGCAGGCGCCTGTGATCCCAGCTACTCAATAGGCTGAGGCAGGAGAATCGCTTGAACCCGGGTGGCAGAGGTTGCAGTGAGCCGAGATCACACCACTGCACTCCAGCCTGGGCGATAGAGTGAGACTCTGTCTCAAAAAAAAAAAAAATATATACACACACACACACACACACACACACACACACATATATAGTGTGCTTTTGGTCAGGCATGCTGGCTTGTGCTGGCTTATGCCTGTAATCCCAGCATTTGGGAGGCTGAGGCAGGTGGATTACCTGATCTCAGAAGTTAGAGACCACCAGCCTGACCAATAGGGTGAAACCCTGTCTCTACTAAAAGTACAAAATTAGCTGGGTGTGGTGGTGCATGCCTGTAAACCCAGCCACTTGGGAGGCTGAGGCAGGTAAATGGCTTGATTCCAGGAGGCAGAGAATGCAGTGAGCTGAGATCATGCCATTGCACTCCAGCTTGGGTAACAAGAGCAAAACTCTGCCTCAACAACAACAAAAATTAGTGTGCTTTTAAAGAAAGTTAAAAGATAAGCAACAGGAATGAAGAAACACATTTGTAATATAACAGACACATGTAAAACACATATAAGTCAATAAGTAAAGGACAACTAAGCATATATATAAATATGCAAGGATAAGAATGGGCAAATTATGGAAGAAATAGAGATGTCTAATAAATCTAAGTCTCTGCTTAACCTCATTAGTATTAAGTGATACAAATTTGTTCATTTATTATTTATTTATTTTCTAGAGATGAGGTCTCACTTTGTAGCTGAAGCTGATCTGAAACTCCTGGGCTCAAGTGGTCCTTTTCCCTCAGCTTCCCAAAGTGCTGGCATCACAGGTGGAGAGATTCAAATTTAGACAATATAATACCAGATATTAGTAGTGGTGTGGAGCCAGGATTTCTCATCACAGCTACTTTAGAGGCAGTGAAGTTTTTAAAATGCTCACTATAGCCACTTTGTAGGGTATAGTTAGTATACAAAATGCTGAAAACAACCTAAATTTCTATCAAAGTAATGACTAGGAGTTGTATGCTGGAATTTAAAAGAATGGGCTGATAATATTGATACGAATTTGACTAAAGGACTTACTGGTTGAAAATGTAAAATTTTTGGCACACACTAATGTATATTTAAACATTTATTTTTAATGCATTTCTAGAAGGATGCAAATGCTTAGTGAAAGTTCTGAACAGATACCCAACTGATAAATGTTTCTTCTGGGAAGGGACTGGTATTGGATGCTCTGGTCAAAGGAAGATTTAGTGTTATTTGTACTGTTTGAAGTTTTAAACATCAATGTAATAATTAAAAAAAAAAACCTTTCACATGAAAAAAATTGAGTTTACAAAGAACTAGGACACCTAGAATGAAAAGTTGGCAGTCTAAGTTAAAATTTTTTTTTGGAATTCAGAGAATCTCTGCCTGACTTGCCAGCCCTTCCCAAGCATACAGATACCCTGGTAACCCTTCCCATTTAGGCAAACAGACCTACAGTGGAAATAAACAAAGGACCCCCTGGCATTTACCTGTGGTAATCAAACTATGTCCTACTTAAATGGAAACTGATAGCTAAGTATCATCACATGAAGAAAACTATCAGCATAATAAACACCAAGAGATATAATTGAATCCTGAGTGGGGAAAGTCATGTAATAACAGAAGAAAATGAAAAATTGATTTTAGCCTGCGGTTTGGAACTACAAAACAAAGGGAACAATTAGATAAGAACTCCTAAGAAATAATAATAATAATAAATGCTGCTGTAATAAATTTAATAAAGGGCAGAAAGACAAGAAACTTTAGATGCATAAATTGAAAAGAAAAATGAGAATCAAAAAGGGACATGGAAATTTGCAAGGTCCAATATCTATGTTTGGGAAAAAATTTAACAAAATAAAAGAATGTATCAAATGAATGATTGAGAAGCTTTCTAAACTGAAACAAGGCATACATGTTCAGCTTGGGTTAGCTCACTGAATGTTGGACAGGATGAACTAGGAAAACCACAACAGGAAAATCCAGAAATATGCTTGCGAAATTTCAGAATATTAAAGAAAAAAACATTCTAAAAGTTTTCAAAAATCATTAGGTCATCTAAAAAAGAACAAGAATC